TTCAGATTTCTGCAGCTGGAGTCACTTTTCTGATGTCACTAGGCTCATTCTATTCTCTTATATGTTTTCTTAAAGTCGTTGTCGTAAATGCTTTTTTTTTTCCCTTCTGCAAAGGGCATTCCGTAAATTAATTTGGGGCACTCCTCGAGGACACAGTGTAAATAATACAGAGAGAGACGCTCACGGACGTAGCAGCCGGGCCCTTTCTTCGCAGTTAGAATGTGTGCGTGAGATGAACTGTAGATAAACAGCTTGCAAGAGGGTGTTCAAAGAAAGGATGAATTGCTACTGTGTTTCTTTGAGACTTTGCGAGAAAGCCTCGCCAGCCAGCCGGGGCCGGACCCGGGGAGGGGAGGGTGACAGCAGCTGCTCATGTCCCTATAGTCACCGGAAAGTAAAATGTCAGAGAAACGCGTCCTTTCTGCCAATTCCGGCTAAAGAAAAAGCGTGTTCGGCGAATGGGCCGAATCAGCCCAAATCGCTCCGACCGCCAAGTTCAACGCCAGGCGAAGGGAGAATGAACAGTGTATTTCCGGGCCGTGTTGCGGGTCTCAAGAAACAGTTTTCGGCGTTTGACGGTTTCTGGACGCGCTTAGCCCTAATTGTATCTTTGTGTGTTTTGTTCCCTTCTAGCTGGAAATAACAAACTGAAGGCCCAGGAAGCCCTGAGGACGGTCAGGGAGGAGACCTTGAACGACAAAGGTACCGGTCCTCGGGGGCGAACCGCCGGCCTTGGTGTGGTCGGCGCGCGGGGCTCCGCCGCAGAGCCCCGTGTAGCAGGAGAGATGGGCAGGCGGAAGCGGCCTTGGCCGGGGAGGCGTCTCTGCTTCTTGCGTTTTTCCTTTCGTCCACGACGTTTTATAAAGTGCGAACGATCGTTTTAAATGACCGCGTGAGGAGTGATTCGCCGGAAGTCGCTTGTGTCACACGCTCCCGGGCAGAGCTCGGTCTGGGGTCCGTGGGGCTGTTTAAAACCATCGCGCGGTTCGCACGTCCTCACAGAGCTGTCAGCGAAGCGTCGTTCACCAGAGAACTTTCCGAAAGGCTCCGTGGCAGTGACGCGGTGGCTTCCGTCATATGCCGTGAGGTTCGGTGCGGGCAGTGGTGGATTAAAGCGAGAGACCTTGGACAGCTTGTCCCCGTGCTGGGGACGGGGCCAGCCTGGGTCCCCGATGCGTGAGGCGTGGCTGTGCGCTCCCGCAGGACCACGTGTCCCCTCTGGGACATGGCGCGTTCCCCGTGTCAAAGCCGAGCAGGGCCACGAAGCTGCCAGGCGGGGGGCTGGCCGCGTGTGTGTGAACAGCCAGACGTGTAGACGCAGTGACAGAGCCGCCGACCCATTGTGGCGGTCACCACGCACGGCGTGGGTGGGCAGGGGACGGGGTCTGAGCCAGCGCGAGAGTGGTCTCTCTACTGGGGTCAGGGTGCTCGGTCCAGCGAGGCTGTGAGCCTTGATTGCGTGTGCGTGCGTGCGCACACACACGCACACGTGTGCACACACACATGCGCACAGATTTAAGCTCACCTTCTGGGCATTACCCAAATGTGAAAGCAGCACAATGTTTGCTTCTGACTTTTGGAGGCTGCTCGGTGGGGTCCCGTCACATCTACTGCTGGGGGTGTCTGTCACCCACTCAGAGACAGAGGATGCGAGGCCTGGCCAGGTGGGGACAGTCCGGGGAGGTCCTGAGACTCCCCTTCCCCTGGGCCGAGTCCTCGTCCAGACTCAGGAGCCTGCAGTCCCGAGGTCCAGCCAACCGCGGGGACCCCGTCCTGTGCCGGGGGGGCCTCTGCACCTAGCAGGGCGGACACAGCCGCAGCTCCAGGGCCACTGGCTGGGCAGCTGTGCCCCGATGCCTCCGGCGCCCAACGCACCGTGCGTCTGCGCATCTCTTCCCGCAAGAGCCTGTTCGGAGCGAGCACGTGTATTTCCACCCACGCCCGCGCCCCTCAGACTGTCGTCCACACCGCCCCTGGTTCCCCGGCCCGGCCCGTGGCCACAGGGAGCCCCACGCGCTCTCGGCTCATGGGCCTCTGCCGATCCCCGCACGGGCAAGCTGAGCTCCGTGGCTTCTCTCTCGGGCTTTTTCTCTTAGTTCTTGGTCGAATGGTTGACGCCGTTCATTCCGGTGCTTCTTGCCCGTGAAGTCACAGTCGATGGCGATCACGTCTGGGGCTGGGCTGCGACGGTCCCTCCGCACCCAGGAACAGCTCCTTTGAGCTGTCGGCTCGATAAAGCAGTGACCGTTGTCAGGAGCCGAGGCGCTGAGGCTCATGTCGCGGCCTAGAATCTTCCGGGGCAGGGTTTGTGCCCTGGTCATCGAGCCTCCGCGACGCCAAACCCTCCGCCGCTCTGCCGCGGTGCGCTGCTGGCGAAAGCCCTGGTCTGTGGAGCAGGTAGTCTCGCTCATGGTCCGAGGACACAAAAATTAAAAAAATTACAATGGTCGCATGCTCTCACGCGGAAACAGACAACGACCTAAATAGTCCTAACAGCAGCACGAGTGTCTGAAGGACTCTTAAACGTCGTCCTGCCGTAAAAGTCCTCAACCGAGACACACCGCGTTTTGCACGTTTCGGCGGAAGCGCCCGCGGCCACAGGAAGATGTCCCAGGCTGAAAGCCGCCGACCGATCCTGTCTTGGGGGAGCGAACGGTGTGCGTTTAACTGCAGGACAGGTTCACCCAGGGAATAACGTCTCCGCGAACCATGCTTGTCGGGTGTGTGATTCGTACGAACGCACACGGCTGCTGTGAACTCTCCTCCTGGCGCTGAGAGGCCGTAAGGCTCCTCCTGGCCTTTCGTCCTGAGAGAGAGAATTGTCATCGCGTCCGTCGGCCTCTGTGCAGGCGACTGGACGCCTACAGTTTATCTTCTGCCCGGAGGCTCCAAGCCGTAGAACGAGCCTCTCTATGGAGCTCGGCGAACTCGGAGAAACTTGATTGTGCGTTGATGGCAAAGATTTCTTTCCCGCGCTTGCCATGTCTGCTGTTGCTTTGCTCTGTAGAGTCCTTGACACCTCATTTCTATGATGAAGCTGTTGACATGAGTTTCTGGGCCCACGGCAAACAATGTGCCCGAGAGAAGTTCGCACGGTACTCCGGACGTGTGTGAGCCTGGCATATGCACTCAGGATGACGTATCTCCCTTATTTATCAGTAAATGGCCTTCTTGGCTGTTTAATTTTTCATGCCCGCGTGCTTGCTTTCCCCGTAAGCGTGCTCAGCCAGCCCAGAAGCCGGCGAACCGTGATGGGCGGGCCCACGGGCCACGTCCTCCGAGGAACATGTGCTGGAGGCTGTTGTGTCTTTCCAGACGGCTCGGAAGGGGAACCGGCGCCTTCGGAAAATGTAATCCACGCTTGCCGCTGCCCCTGTGTTCCCTGCGTTAAAGGCGCCCCCTTTCCCGGGGCCCTGACGATGCGCCTCGCCCTTGCCACGCACGAGCCATGTCCGAGCCACGAAACGGACGTGTGTCGGCCCCGTTCCCTCAGCCCGCCGTACATGCTCACACGCCTTTTTAAAAAATCCCACGAAAAACACATTTCGTTCTCATTACCGGCAGTGTCCTGCTTTGCCTACCCGTAGTTTATGGGCCATTGTCACTGCCCAGCACACTGCCTGTCCCTTTGTCCCCAGGTTCTGCTTCCTTGACTAAATGCGAACTAGCCGTTCCTGCAGAGGTCTGGCCATCCGCCAGAAAAGGACAGTTTCTCTAGGAAAGGCGTGTCCGAGTTCTGAGGGAGGACAAGGCTCCGGCCAGCAGGTGGCGAGCCCGGCACGCGTCACACGGCTGTGGTGCTCTCGTCCCTGTGGTCCGGTCCTCGTCATCATGGGTGTGACCCGTGGTTCAGGAACGCTGAACCCATGACGTGAGCGAGTCAGAAACCTGTGAGCCCCGCCTGCTCCTACCAGGAGAGTCTCTGTAAGGGACCTTCATGCCTCGAAGATGCATCTTCACATTTCGTTCATGTGCAGTTTTGGCTTTCAAATCTTTTCTCGTGGAGCCAGGTTTCGGCCCCTCCAGCCAGCCGGGCGGGGGCTGCACGATGGGAAGCATCGGCGGGTGACGCCCACCCCCTCGTTCCCCATTACCCGTGCCCCCCATTCCTCCCTGTAAATCTGAGTTTCCAGCTGCGGCCACGTCTCCTCAGCGGAGGGACTTCTTCGGCAACGCTTTACCCGCGCGTCTGCTCAGGACAAATTCACGCGACTTTCGTTTATCCGAAAACGTCACGATTTCGCCGTGTCTTATTCTGTTATTACAGCTGACGTACAATATCCGTTTCCGGTGTTCAGCGTACGGACGAGGCGTTCGTAGACCTTAGGATCGGACCTTGGCGATCATCGTGACAACTCCATTCCCGTGTGTCACCACGGAAACTTATTGCCATGGCGACGATCGTCCCTGTGCTGTCCCCTGAACCCCCGTGCCTTATTGGTTTTAGAGCTGGGCGTTTCATCTTCCCGTGTGAACACTGTGTTCCCCGGATGCAGGACTCTGGATGGGGGACAGCCCCGTGCCGCGGAGATGAGTAAACCGCTGGGACTCGGGCTTCGGCCTTTCCTCGATTCAGACGAGAAGCGAGCTACGATCGCTATCCACATGTCCTCACCGTCATGTGCTCGGACCCCTCTTTTCTGTGGGTTCTGTTGCTCTTTCTTGCTTTCGGAAGCTCAGTGCTGTGCCGGGGGTTTCTCGGCGCGGGTTTGCGAGGCTCCGTGTCCGTGGGCAGGTGCTTCTGACATCGTTTGGGTCCCTTTGAGGGCACCTTTTGCAGACACGTTCTCTGCCGGGTTCTCCCCATCTCGTCCTCACGGGTGTGCAGACATTCAAGTCCACGACAGTGTTGCCCCTGTCACCGCCCTCGGCTCATGAGATTCAACCGTATTTTGTTTTTCACTCTGCGCTTGGACCGTCTCTGTCGACCTCCCTCAAGTTCTCCGTTTTCCAGCCGCGCCTCTGCTACCTTTAGTCTCATCGTGGGATGTTTGTTTTCAGCCAGACGAGCCGCTCCTACTCCGTCTTGGCATCGGTGTGGGGTTACATTCTTGTTCACGTCTTTTTCCCGACGTCGTGCACATCGTCCCCCGCGAATCTGTCTGTTCCTGTGGACGCCGCAGTGCGTCGTCGTGACTTCCAGGTCCTCGTCTGCTCATTCCAGCGTCCGTGCCACCTCTGGGTCTCTTCCCATTGTTTTGGTGGTGGTTGCCGTTTTTATTTTCCGTGTCACGTCATGTTTACTGTGCATGAGGCGTCGCGTCTGTTCCGTCGTGGAGAGCGCGGATTCCGTGACGTTCCTCTGGGGCGTGGCGTGTTTTGTAGCAGGCGATGATGCCCCCCTCGCTTCACCGTGACCTTGGGGAAGGCTCTCGGTACGATGAGTCTGCTTCAGTTTTGCCCTCGGGGGTCCAGTGAGGTCTTCACCTCGGCACGCGGTCCTTTCTCCTAAGATGTGGCTCTTGTCGTCTCGGGTTTCAGGTGACAGACAGTCCGAGATGGTGACCCCGCCTGCCAACCTGGCAAGACTCGAATGACACCCTGTGACCCCAACCCCCGACAGCGGGTGAAATTTCTCTGCTCCCTCGTTCGACCTTCCAGCCGCCATTTGTCCGCGAGCCCCTCGGGGACTCACAGTGACTTTGCGGTTCGGTCGTCAGCCAAGGGTTTGACGGCAGCTCCCATGCAGCTTTCGGGGCTCT